AGAGACAAAATCATTGGAACCAAATAGTGAGGTTAGGGACCGTGCACTGCTCTATAGGGTAGATAAAAGAGGCAGGACAAATAAGACAGAGAGAAAAGACATAACAGAAAGATAAGATAGAAATGACAGATATGATGGTCCTAACATAGAGGTAACTCTAAGATTAGAAGGTCCCGAAATAACGTGCTCAACTTTTTGACTCAGCTCTGGTACTATCTTCGGTCCCAAGCTAATCGATTCACCCCTCGAAACATAGGAAAATCCACTAACCCCTCATTTTATATGTCAAACTTTCATAGCGAATCAAAACAAACATTGTGTAGTACTAGAATTTCGACTAGAATGGGGTACGTTAATCGTTTGCTTGGGACCAATAGGCTAGTCAAGTAGTGAGCCAATTTTAAATCGTTAGTTTCGTATTGATTGTCTCTTTTGGTAAGAAACTGATGTGGCACAAACCATTTGAAGTTTATATGGAAATTACTATGGAAAAACTAGAAATACTAAGAGAAAGAGATAGGCGAAGAAAACAAAATACAAATCGGCAGCAGGGATTTGTTCCTAAATTATCGCTTTTCCTGTGTGGCATCTACATTCGTCCCAGTAGTCCTCTCCTAGTTGCGGTACGTTAGAATCGTTAGGTTCCCATAGTTGTGCATGTAGACTCACTACACAACTATAGGAACCTAACGCTTCTAACATACCGCAACTATAGGAGCGTTTACCCTATACCAAGTACGCCGACTCCGTACAACAGCTTCTTGAAATGGCCAGTCCTCATGATACGACTATAGTTATGGGTGATTACAACCTGCCAAATCTAGTTTGGGATTCCGTTGAGGATGTCCAAGGATTCTCACCTCTGAATGCTTCATCTGAACAGGAAGTTGTTGTAGTAGAATCCTTAGTATCTGCAGGAATTATGCACATCAGCGATCTGGTCAACGCGAATGGTAAACTTCTCGACCTGGTGCTCGTCAGTGATTTAGATGCTATATATTGAACGGGGTACACGACGTTAGGCATACGGTCGTTAGGCATAATGCACGATAGGCATAATGGACGTTGGCCATAAAGGACGTTAGGCATAATGGACGCTAGGCATAATCTACCCGATGAGTTCCAGAAGGATGATAATGGGGACCGTTTATTGATTGCTGACTTCGATGACAATAATGAAAGAGCCTTAATTTTTGGACTCATAAAAACTTGCGACGTCTTGGACAGGCAAAGTATTGGGTTACAGATACAGGTTTGCCACAGTTCCTTGTTTGTTTCGGCAACTCGTCACTGTTCATGGAAGTATCGCTCCCTCACATCAGCAGACGGTTCCGCTAATTTTCATTCTGATGACCACAAAAACAGAATCGTTGTATCGAAAAGTATGGCAGGAAATCCTGGAAGCAGCAGGTATGTTTTTTTTTGTTATTGAATGAAAAACCACAGAATTCACTATTCTTCATTTGATGAGCTGTTCTTTGGCATCATATATTATTCAACCTTAGCTGTTTTTTGTTATTGAATGAAAAATCCCAGAATTCACCATTCTTTATTTCATGAGCTGTTCTTTGAGGAAAATCTTTACTTCTTTGATAATTGCAATATGTGTGTAAGAATATATGTCAACAAATGTGTGACTTTTTTTTATTTCTAGATGCTATTGATTTCAAGATATAGTTCAAAACTATGCTGAGTTTTCATTGCCAGATTACTTAACCGCTTTAGTTTCTAATCTTGGATCTAAGTAAATATGTAGCAACGTCACTTATGAACAGTGCTTATTAATTAAACTATTTATCATTTTTAATTCAACGCTTAGCTTAATTTAAGCATTGTTTACCCTGATCGAAACAGGTTTCTAGAGTTGCACAGCAGCAAGGTATTTTATGCATAACGTCCATTATGCCTAATGACTTTATGCCTAACGTCCATTATGACTAACGTCCATTATGCCTAACGTCCATTATGCCTAACGTCCATTATGCCTAACGTCCATTATGCCTAACGTCCGTATGCTTAACGTATTTATGCCTAATGGGGTACACTCGTTTGAACCACCATCTGCCATTTTGATTGCCATCATAAGCCGTTAGTATTGAAAGTTGATATCCGTTCGAGTGACCATTTGCCATCGTATCCAGCAGCACGCAGTGAGTACATTTCCGCACGGTGGAATTTCGATGTTATTAATGCGACGATCTCAGCGTTGGATTGGGTACAACTACTTAACTTACCTACCATTGATGCCGCCGTGTCCGTATTCTATGACAATTATCAAGTAATTCATGATACTGTTCCGGTAAAGGTTCGTAGACCTTCTATGCATTCCCATAAATCTTGGTGGAAACTGCAATTGCTTAATCTACGTAACTGTCTGCGTAAGGCTCGTAAACGTTACTTTCGCTCCAGGACAAGTATGGTGCGCTGCTTGCAGAAGCCGAGTTCAACAGTTTGCATGAAGTTTGCTTTCGTGAGTATATGGATAATCTCCAGAGTGGCTTCAAAGAAAACCCATCGTCGTTCTGGTCTTTCGTAAACGCTCGCAAAAGATCAGCTGGTATTCCCGTAATCGTAGCTTCTCCACCGACGCCACTTCTGCAAACCTCTTCCCTTATTTCTTCCGAAGCGTTTTCGAACTCGATCAAACTTCTCCGCAGCAGTAGTTCATCGGCCAGTTACCGAACTACAACATTCGTCTGCAGCTGCTTAACTTCGGCCATGACGCTATTTTCAAAGCCCTTTGCTCGGTAGATGCATCGAAAGGTCCGGATTGTATTCCACCGTCTATCGTCAAGAATTGTGCAGCATCGTTGGCCACACCCCCTTTACCGTATGCGTGATAATGTTTTCACCATCGTACAAATAAGGTTCCCGTTTCACCTGTGCATACAATGCCTTGGTTTTCTTTGCATGCACGTAACCTATAGCTCATACCGTAGTAGGCTGCGTATAAAAGAAAATGATTTACTTATTTTGACAGTTGCACATTTCAATCGCCGTGGGAGTGTCCCGGTGGACCGTGAAAAGGGTTTTAGACCGAGAAAAGAAAGGACAACTATCCGCGAAGGTGGCCACAAGTCGGCCGAGGTCAGCTCCGAGGGTTATCGCTGCTATCAAAAGGAAGATTCGGGTGAATCCAGTGCGTTCAATAAGGAAAATGGCAAAGGAACACGGGATCAGTGACTTTTCGGCAAGGAAGATCGTAAAGGAAGATTGCGGGGCGAAGACGAGGGCATGAAAAAAAACTCACACGATTGCCAGCCGCATCCGGGAGCTACGAGTCGAACGATGCAAGAAAATCTTGAACTTTCTTAAGCGAAAAAATCCGGTAATCCTGTTCACCGAGAAGAGCATGTTTACCGTCGATCCCGTATCAAATTCCAGAACCGACCGGTATATTAGTTCTCTTCCGGTAACAGACGTGGCCGACGAGCACAAGACGTGTTTCTCAATATGGCGCGTCAGAAAGGCCAAGGCCGGTTCTAAACGCCACCCGAGTACAGCAAACCTCAGACAAACATTGACCCGTACCTGGAGAGAAATGGATCCAGACTGCATTATTAGAACCTGTCGTGCATTTCGGAAGCGTGTGGAGGCCGTAAATGCAGCAAGTGGAAACTCGATTGATGATTAATATAGTTTAAGACTCTGAGAAGCATCCACCCTTTGAATTAAATTTTTCAGATTCCTGGAAGTTTGTATCAATTACACCGATCTTCAAGTCAGGTTACATTCACAGCGTGGAAAACTACCGACCTATCTCGATCCTTAATCCTTGATTCAAATGTTCTCGAAAGTCTTCTGCATGACAAGTTGTATCCAACTGTGCAGTCTATAATCTCAAACTTGATGTCCTATACCAACACTCTTATTGGTAGCATACAAAAGCATCAGCAAGTAGACGCCGTTTACATTGACTTATCTAAGGCCTTCGACAAAGTCCTTCATGACCTCGCTATCGCAAAGCTGAGCCGCTTTGGTCTTCCGCCGTGGGTCGTTCGCTGGTTAAAATCATATTTATCCTCCAGGAAGAAATTCGTTAAGGTTCATGATGCCAGATCCGATGTGTTTGATAAACTATCGGGAGTTCCACAAGGGAGCCACTTAGGACCTCTTATTTTTGTTTTATTTATTAACGTCGTGTGTGACCACTCAAGTTCCTATAAGTTGTTATATGCTGATGATTTGAAAGTCTACCGTGTGATCAAATCGATCCTAGATTGTTGTGCTCTACAAACTGACATTGAGCTAGTTGATTCTACTAAAGATCTTGGACTTATCTTGGATAGCAAACTTAGATTCAACGAGCACACATCTAAGTCAATTGCAAAGGCTTGGATTCCTGCGTCGCAATGCTTCGCAATTCGATGATGTGCACGCTTTGAAAACATTGTAATGCTCCTTGGTTCGTAGTGTTCTTGAACTTATAGTACAAATCTGGGCTCCATATCTTGCTGTGCACAAATCGCGCAACAAAAAAAAAATTCAGAAACGTTTTGTCAGAATCGCCTTACGACAGCTTCCATGGACAGCTAATTGAACTGCAAACACTATCGAGTCGCCGAATCTTCCTGCAGAGACTATTTATTTTTGACTGCAGTAGTGTGCTCCGGGCTATCAACTTCCACGCTCCAGTCCATCGTCTCCACAATGCGTACCTCTTGTGCACTCCTGGATACCGTACTGCTTTTGACTATAACAATCCACTCGACAAATATTGCAGACAGTTCAATGATGTCATCTGTTAACACCCTGCACAAATTAACCTGATCTGGCAATAACAAGAGCAGCAACTACGGGAGGTTAATCAAGCTAAAAAGCAGTACGACACGACACCCTTGTTTAAAATGTAATCTTTTAATTCAAACACAAGCATTCTTTGCAAATCCCTCCTTCACCATAAACATCACTTCCGCAATCTACATTCCCCCCTGCAATGAAATGATCAATATTTAACCAGATTCTGATTTATTTCCGTTCCAATTCTCTTTCTTCCGCAGCACGCTACAAAGGAATCTCTCTGCTCCCAGCATCGGGACTGCTCAACGGTAAGAAATCATCTCGTTACTATTGTATACACGAACCACTCTATCCCGTTCCCCCCATCCCCAGCCACCGTTGTTGCTTGTCACATTCTCAGGTGCAACATTTTATAGCAGCCGAGCACTTTACACAAAACGATCAAAGAGAACCCAGAAACGCGAACGACTCTTCCCGGGAAAAGCGGATCTCGGTTCCTCTGCGTTCGATATTTTAAACTGATGTATTATTTATTCCAACACCCATCAGCAGCCAATACCGGGGGAACTGGTCTGGTCTGGTCCGATCTGGTCTGATGGTGCTGCTTTTACGAGCGAGCATTGTTGCTATTCCACGAATCCACAAATGTTGTTCTTTTCCGCGGAAAATCGTGTGCTACATTGTGGCAGCAGCAGCCGTTTGTTTTCCCTCATCGACACCTGGTGGAAGGGAAAATTGGAAATTGTTTCGGGAAATGTTTCTCCCGCGTTTTATGGATGGAGGGCTTTCTCCGAAACGATTTCCCGTTTGATCAACTGGTGTAAAACACCCTCGCTTGGTTTTGTTTCATCACATGAAAATTATAATTTAATCAACTTTGTGTAGCAAAGCCATCCTTCCGAATAAAGTGCCGCTCGTTTAGGCGAGAGCAAGGTGACTTTGATGGTTCAAGGTGTTTCGAACAAACGAAAGCTGCAAAGCACCTTCCTATCTTCCATCCACCTTGACCGCGGCAAGCAAGAGGAGCATTATCGATTACCCCAACTCTCGTGCAGGAAGGTCATAAAAAGAATGCTCTTCGTTTTGTTCATACTGCAGCAGGAATCTGAACCTTTGCGTCGCTCGGAGAGGTGTCATACTCGGAAATCGTAAAAGAAAACAACATCAACCAAATATGTAGGTACCTCTCCTGTCGTGTCGTCGCAGGGTCGCAGCATCCCCGGGCCAGCCTGCAACAAAGTTTCCGAGTTCACGCAGTCAGAGCTCGCACGGAAGCGTGGAAACTGAGGTGTTGCGTTTATTTGCTTATGCGCTGCCTTGTTTTACGACGACGACGACGACGATGGAGAAGACGGCGAGAAAAATTCGACACTTCTTCTTAGCACCTCCCTCCCTCCCTGAACGGGTCGTTGGATCTGTAAAACGATTCCGGCCTTCTTTGTGTTGTCCTTCGCCCATGTGTGTTGTGTGAGCTATTGGTTTTGGATCGCAGCGAGGCTGCAAAGGTGAGGCACCTTTCCCTCCATAATGGGAATTCTAAACAATCCAACTCCGAGCACGGCTCACTGGATCTGTGTTGTGTGTGTGTGGGTGTGTGGCATTAACGCATGAAAGGATACGACGATGAAACGATGAGGCTGCTCTGCCATATTGGTACCTAAGTGCCGTTTTATGGCCTCGTTTATGAACTGTTTTGTCGAGAGAGACAGAAAGTGTGTAGGAGCGGTTCCACGAGTGTTGATTGTTCTTGTGTGTTCTGGTGGAACTCGGAAGGAAGGAAGGTGATTTTACGTGTGATTATGGCTATTTCTGTGAAGTTATATAGGCATCTGAGCTACACTCACATACATACGCACGAATGGGCGCCCAGTCAAAATTACTGGAAAGCCTGGTGGAAAATTTTGCCTTGAAAACCGATAAAATTCCAGTAGAAATACATTTTGTTTATTCGGAACGACCTAGGGGGAACTGACGACTTCGGCACTTCATTACCTATTATCGTCGGGGGGTAAATAAAGTCTGGGAGTGTTCATTTTTTGCTACTCACTATTCCATTCATTTACACTATCTTCTCCATACAAAAAAATACCACTCTTTGACTTCATTGACCCCCTAGACCAGTGATGCTCATACCCATTTTTTCAATAGCTGTATTTTTGTTCGTTGGTCTTATTTTAAGTTCGAATAGGAATAGGAATAGGAATAGGAATAGGAATAGGAATAGGAATAGGAATAGGAATAGGAATAGGAATAGGAATAGGAATAGGAATAGGAATAGGAATAGGAATAGGAATAGGAATAGGAATAGGAATAGGAATAGGAATAGGAATAGGAATAGGAATAGGAATAGGAATAGGAATAGGAATAGGAATAGGAATAGGAATAGGAATAGGAATAGGAATAGGAATAGGAATAGGAATAGGAATAGGAATAGGAATAGGAATAGGAATAGGAATAGGAATAGGAATAGGAATAGGAATAGGAATAGGAATAGGAATAGGAATAGGAATAGGAATAGGAATAGGAATAGGAATAGGAATAGGAATAGGAATAGGAATAGGAATAGGAATAGGAATAGGAATAGGAATAGGAATAGGAATAGGAATAGGAATAGGAATAGGAATAGGAATAGGAATAGGAATAGGAATAGGAATAGGAATAGGAATAGGAATAGGAATAGGAATAGGAATAGGAATAGGAATAGGAATAGGAATAGGAATAGGAATAGGAATAGGAATAGGAATAGGAATAGGAATAGGAATAGGAATAGGAATAGGAATAGGAATAGGAATAGGAATAGGAATAGGAATAGGAATAGGAATAGGAATAGGAATAGGAATAGGAATAGGAATAGGAATAGGAATAGGAATAGGAATAGGAATAGGAATAGGAATAGGAATAGGAATAGGAATAGGAATAGGAATAGGAATAGGAATAGGAATAGGAATAGGAATAGGAATAGGAATAGGAATAGGAATAGGAATAGGAATAGGAATAGGAATAGGAATAGGAATAGGAATAGGAATAGGAATAGGAATAGGAATAGGAATAGGAATAGGAATAGGAATAGGAATAGGAATAGGAATAGGAATAGGAATAGGAATAGGAATAGGAATAGGAATAGGAATAGGAATAGGAATAGGAATAGGAATAGGAATAGGAATAGGAATAGGAATAGGAATAGGAATAGGAATAGGAATAGGAATAGGAATAGGAATAGGAATAGGAATAGGAATAGGAATAGGAATAGGAATAGGAATAGGAATAGGAATAGGAATAGGAATAGGAATAGGAATAGGAATAGGAATAGGAATAGGAATAGGAATAGGAATAGGAATAGGAATAGGAATAGGAATAGGAATAGGAATAGGAATAGGAATAGGAATAGGAATAGGAATAGGAATAGGAATAGGAATAGGAACCCTAGCTGCCCTATTCAACCCCTTTCTCGCCATCTCTACCGGCGACAGCTAACCTTCAAATTGATACCATCCACCGGTGTGGGTACGAAGCTATTCGAATCCATCAACAACTCCGGCTCCGTGGTCCCCGACAGTTCAAAGTTGAACCTGGCCAGCAGCAGCGACAGTCCCACCTTGGTCAACATCTTACCCATTCTCATCCCGATGCAGATGCGTGGTCCATCGCCAAACGGAGCGTACGGTTTGGTCCTCACGTTTGCCTCCTGAAATCGCTCGGGCTCGAACCGCATCGGTTGCGGGTAGTACTGTGGATCGTGTTGCATTCCGCCGAACTGAAGCACCACGGCCGTTCCCTTTTCGATGATCAAATGCGAACCGGGGAATTTGTAGTCTTGGGTGCATTCTCGGTTCAAAATCGGCACTGGTGGGTACTTTCGCAAGGTTTCATCGATGCAGCATTCCAAGTAGCGCATCTCCGTTATGCCTTCGTAGGTCAGCTCGCCACCGTAACGTTCCATGACGGAGTCGATTTCCTGTTGAACTTTACGTCGAATTGTGGCGTTCTTAGCCAGTTCGTATAGGCAGAACGACATCGTCGTGGAAGATGTTTCGAATCCGGCTAGAAAGAATACATACGCTTGCGCGGCGACTTCTTCTAGCGAAAGTTCCTTTAACTGGTTGGTTGCATCCACAGTCCACCGTTCATCGTCCGAAACGGTACCCGTATTGCGCAACTGCAGCAGCAGTTGCATCATGTCCTTCCGTGTTATACCATTCTGTTCCCGGTATTCCAACGTCTCGCGAACCACGCCCAGCATGAACCGCTCCACGTCGTCATCAATTTTAAGCTTCAACAACCTGTTCAACTTCGGCACCATATACGTCAACAATATGCGCATGTTGTTGCGGAGGCTTGGCTCAAACACCAAAAATAGAATAAATGTTTGCCCCATTAGATAACTGTATCATTCAGAGTTTTTGAAGCACACCTACCTTACGCCCCATCTGGCGGAACGGTTCGTTGGGATTGTTGATCGAATCAATCTGAATCCCGAAAGCTACCGACGCAATAATGTCCGTAGTGTAGCGAGCCAAAATCTCCCGGATCTCAACGACTTCGCCGCACTCTGCATACTTCTGGATGAAGCTCTGCAGCACTACACCCGTATCGACCAGGGTCTTGAACATGCCTTTAAGTTTTCCGCTAGTAAAGGCTGGCGTCAGCTTGGTGCGAAGATGTTTCCACTTTTCACCGGCCAGAGAGAAGAGATGTCCGCCGAGAGGATCGTTCTCTTCGTCGACGTACGAGCCCCGGTCGTGGAAGTGTTGAAAGTCCCGCACCATGATATCCTTGGCCAGCTGGGGATCATTCACGAACAGCATCGGACGTAGTAGGACGTAACCGCCGAGTAGGGGCCATTGTTTACTGCGTTGGTAGAGCTTTTTGCAGACCTCCGGAAAGGATGCCCTACCGCGGAAGAGATTCGTAAAGTTTCCAAACGGGAATAGGGGCATTAGCTGCGGGATCTTTCGTCGCTTCCAAAAGCCAAAGACATAATTTAAAAACCCACAAGCGGCAAAGCATAGCAGCACCAGTCCTACCGCTAGCGGTGTCATTTTGTAACTGACGGTTGACTCAAAACCGAATCTGATTCGAACAAATGCAAATCATTTGAAACGAATGGCATGGAACGAAAGCGTTTAGTTCAGTTGGAATTTGTTGCAGTGATTGGGGTGGCATGCCTTAAAATCAGTACCAACCAACACTGGCCACTGCAATCATGTTCAATTCATCGTACGACCCGAAACGAAAAATTTGGTCCGGCCTCAAGCAGCCGGGTCCGTTCAATCCGCAGGCCAACCTAGGCCAATTGATTTTGAACTTG